GGTATTTTGTCATTTTATGTGTGTCTTATAAAATGTCACTATGACATTTCTAGAAAGTTTTTTTATAAAATTATGGCATTTCTCATAATTTTCTCTTTAAATTATCAATTTTTCTTTTGAGAGTGAAATTATAAACTGACTAAAATATGTGAATTAATTAGAGAATCAACAAAGATCATTTTCTTCGTAAAGATTTAACAAAATGATACAGAGACTCTGACTGGTATCATGAAAGAAGATTTTATTTTCTTCTACGCTCAAAATAAATAAAAAAAGCTAAGGGTCTAAATGATAAGTCTTTTATGAATGAAATTGGTGGAATATATATGAACTGAATATGTATGAATGGAATTGAAAAAAGAATGAAATAAATCTATCCCATTCATTCCTTATCAAAATTTTAGAAGGATACTTTCCTTTGAATTTTTGTGTGGAATTGATTATTTTTGTGTAGAATAAATGAAATGTTCATTCTTTTCCTTTTATGACAAATAGTAAAATTTTGTGTGGAATAAGTGGAATGATCTATTCTATTCATATAAAGAGACATCGATTTGCACTCTAAGAGTAATTTTTGTCCTACTAATTGTTACGTGGAAACTTTCTTAAAGAAAGTAAGCAAACCTTTGAAAATAATAAAAAAATCACTTTTTTTTTAGGTGGATCCAGAAAGATTCAAAAGAAAAATATTTTAAAATTTTGCAACCAGTGAAAGCAGTAAGAGCATGAATAATACACGTAGAGGGAAAAGGGTTGACGTGGTTTATAGGTGGTGCGAGTTGGGAGACTTATTGAGAAAAAGAGATGTGACGTTGGCCAAATATAATTAATGTGATGGTGAGTTAATGACAAATCTAGTAGGATTTAATGAATTGTTTTACTAAAGAAGTGGGTAAAAGTTTGAAGTTTTTAAAATATTACAAGAAAACATTTGATGAAATGTTTTATGATAGATTTAACAGCATATAATGAAGTGTTTTACAATAAAATAGAAGTTCAAAATCTGATATAATATATAGATAGGATTAATTTAATATAGATTGTTAATG